TCCAAACCAGTACAATATTTCTCTTAAACACAGTTGTCATTTTTCAATGAATAAATTACACAATGTTTCTCCAGTACAGAAAGTAGTTAAGCCGCAATGGCAGAAAACTGATAACATATGTTAATGAATTTAAATAGAAATACCAACGATTTACACATAAAATTCAGTGCGAGAATCTCTTGCAGCTGCCACACGCAGTTCCTCAGGTTACTCATCGGAGTCATGACTAGAAATCAATTGCGTTAATAAGCTATGAAATCAATTGCGTTAATAAGCTATGAAATCAATTGCGTTAATAAGCTATCACTTGCACGGTCAGCAACATCCGGGCGCAGCTCGAGAAGACAGCGATTGTTATGCACTTCTGTAATATACAGATTTATCAGAGAAATTTATTTATTAATTGTATGTATTTATTTATTATATTTCTCGAAATGAATTTTGTACGCAGTGTGAACAACAGGTCTGGTGAGATGGCGTCGGGGCAATAACATAAGGCTTAGCTTGTCGGATATAGGAATTAAGGTAAAATTTGCTCGCGTGGCAATTATACTCTAATGCAAACAAATTCCAAGGATTGTTTGTACAGTTACATCGATCAATTGAAGGTGGCAATGGACGAGGCGTTCCGGCACAATATTTTGCTCTGAACAGACTAATTATTGCTAAAACATGATACATTTCAAAAATCATGTTGGATGTAAAGGAACAAACAACATAACACAATATCCCCCCCCCGCTTAATGAATTACACATAATTCGCCGAATTCCGATAAAATACATTGATAAATTGCAGCACTACGGCAAATCTTTCAAAATTGCAGAACTACAACATACCTCCTACAATTGCAGAACTACGCTCTATATACTTCATACAATTTCAGAATTACTTCATTTATATACCTCACACAATTGCACAAATACGGTATATATGTTCAATAAAATACGAACGTTTTAAATTTTTAGCAGCCACGAGGTTTGGGTGCCGCGTCGGAGTCCTGGTACAATGCCAACAATGAGGTTAACTCTAGTCTACATTTAAGAGTACACTACACAATTCTAGCGCGAAATTTGTTATCAAAATATTGTCCCAATATACAGAAGGCTGGCGAGACCGAGGCGCGCCATCAGCAGAATCAAACTTGACACTTCGCAGCCAATGCAGAGAAGCGGATGTACATTAAACCTGCGCATTAATGCATTAATGTACATTATGCATCAATGTACATTAAACCTGAAACAACAACCATAAGCACAACAATTTCCTGCCTTCTTAAAAAGAGTCTAGTTCAAAGTCTGCGCTGTAGCATGGCAGCGGAGTAAAACATGGCTGATAGTCGCCTAGTCAGCAAGCCTGAAGGCAGAAGCAAACATTGCAGAAGATGGAACAAGAAATGGATATTATGCTATAGTTCTCCAGTATAAAGGCAATGAAGCTTAGGACAGAAGTGCTAACAAAGGCTCTTCACATTACTGGGAATGGCGAGTGCTGTGCGATGGAGAGATAAATCTTACAATACATGCAAGAACAAAAATTTGGCCTCACCTTTTCGACAATTTTTATTTTTAGTTTAACAATTTACGAAGTTTTATGAATGTCGTGGAGGGAAACTTCCACTTCAAGAAGGTTAGTTTTTATTTATTTATACATGTTTAGAAGAATAATATCTTATTAAGCATGCAGGCATTAATCAACGAGATGAATTAAATAGAAATCGGCTCACATGAGTAATCAGTTCGAATTTGATTTTCGAATGCATTTCGAAATGTTCAATTCATTATTGAAGAGTAAAAGTGATAATAAGTACAGGTGGAATGAATGAAGTACAGTAAAAAGTATAGGTGGAGTGATACTACAAGCAGTGCGAACAAGTACAGTTGAACTGCTGACGTCGTAGAGAAAAAACCTTTGCGATTTGATCTACGCTAGATGAGATACGAGCATATATAAGGCCAGTTATATTTACTAACGTCTTCATGTGACAGCAGTTGATTTTATTGTTCAGTTAAGTGCAGGCTAGTCCACTGACCGCCACTCCAGTGCTATGTGAAAACTTGACGCGAAGTTCTTGTTTTAAGCGAAGGTATCAGACCGTTACACGTTATTTAGTCCGAGCGAGAGGAGGAAGGGTTACATCGCAAGATATCCTACGTTATTCCATACATCAATTTTGAACCAAGAAAATTCGTCGGCAGTCATTACACCTGAACTAAAGAGAAATGTAAACGACGAATATCATGAAGAAAGAGAGTGCGAGTGTTACTCGGGTGTAAATAAAATGTATGAGACCGAATGATGAAGAAAATTATTGCAAAAATGAGGTACCGGTAATAAAATTTCAACTTGGAAAACAGAAATGAAGAAAATTATGGAAGACAATGCTTCTCGGAATGATATTTGTAATGTAAGGTTGGTAAACGAGCGCCCATTAAAGAGCATCTGGGTGAACATCACATCAAAGAATACATCGAACAATGTTATCATATTCATAAAAAGGGCATGGAAGGAAACCGCGCTGGAGGAGTGGAGCTGGATGGAGTAGCCATATAGGAGGCGTTCAACTTCCACCTCTGAACAACCAACAGTCAATTCATTGCCGAATTTTGAACACATTTGGGTGTGAATGTTTCATAGCCAGCAGGAACAGCGTACAATGTACAGGATAGGATACACATGTTGTTCCTCTATACTGCAGATGTCAACGTGTAGTACATCCTTCTTAACGGAATTACGAGCTAAACTTTATATGTAGTATTTGTACACAATGAGTACATACTCAAGCAAAAGAGCTGTGAGTGCAGTGCAGTGTACAGAGACGATCGTACACTGCGCAGCACTCGCATCTCACGTAACCATCGGGATAACATATACACTTTGTTATGTACAAAAACCCCACAAATAATAATAAATAACAGTAATAACATTGATAATTACTTACAGTGACGATAGAAAGCAATGAAGAGTCAACGGATAGCGAACTTTTTACGAAACTTTAAGAGATCCGCCATGCTGAGCAGACACCATGGATGCAGCGATTCAGATTTTGCAAAAAAAAGTAAAACAGAGGGAATAAACAAAGAAAACAACAGAGGGAAGAAACAAAGAAAACAACAGAGAGAAGAAACAAAGAAAACAACAGAGAGAAGAAACAAAGAAAACAACAGGCGGAAGCTCAGCTTAGCTTCTTTGTCGCGTCCGTGGACGCGACAAAGAAGCTTCCATTAGCTCAGAAATATGAAGCAGCGGGCCGCGCTGATGGCGGTCCCACGGCGATGACGTGGAAACGTTTGAAGATATCCATTTGTTATCACCTTGAAGGTTCATCATAAAACCTGCACCAAAGGCTTAAATAGTGATGTGTAGTCCTCTGGCGAGAACGTTGATGTGGGAGAAGTAGGTCAACTGAAACAGGTTCTTGTTAAGTCGCGTCGGTTAGTCTCGCAACGAGCATGAAATTATCAAAGAAAGGTAGATAGGAGTATTTTTTTTTGGTTCAACCATTAGAAATTAAAATACTTCCACTTCCACAGAAGATAACTTGAAGACAGTTTTCTACTGAATTGAACTCATTTGCTCACGGGACTTGAAGCAAAAACATCGGCAAGGATACCGCGATGGTCGAGCATTAATACCTGCAGCTAACAGGAATGCACCTGACAGTGGTTCAACGCTGTGAGGGCGGTTATAATGATGACAAAGGGCCGAAAGAACACCAACAGATGACAACAGGCCAACAAGGGGCAATATCAATAGATGACAACAGACCAACAGATGACAATATCAACAAACTTTTCAATTAAAGCGCGCGACTGCCGCACGTGGTGACAAAAACTACGATGTCAAGGTTCAGCTACGGTGCGTTCATGCACAAGCTACACTAGGAGCAAATGAAGCCTTGACGCGCGCAGTCAATAGATATTCTCCGTCAGAACTTCTGCTCCTGTTCGTCCATGCTAATCTAAGCTGAATAGAAGATGGTGCAGAGGCATAGTAAATACATTAAATGCTGAGACAAATTACTATTTAAACAAATCAGGCACAAGGACCGAACGAAGGTTCAGGCGACTAAAGATATCGTACAAAATTATGTATATTTTTTTCATCATTCCATTATAGGTTTACCAATTATTCAGCTGCACGCATTGAAAGCTCATCATGAGAGACTGAAAGTTCTATTTACGTAACTTAAATGCAAAAGTTGATGACTTATTTCACAGAGAATCAGCACCACTAGTAAACTGAACTGATCGCTATGTTCAATAAGATTCGTCAGGGTTTGCATTTTTAATCACATGTGTAAAGCTGCTCATAAAAAAAATAGCTACGTCTACACACTTAATTGAGGAGTGTCATACATCTAATAATATATTTAAGAATAAAACAACCTATGTAAAAATCCATTGAGGATTCCGTTTGTTCCTATATGTACAAATTGCTGAGCAGCGCTCAGGTTGACCATAGAATGCGTTGAACAACGGCTCGTAAAATTTTAATTAGAATTTTCACCTTAGTAACTCGTTTCATGAGTGATCAGTGTTCAGCAATGATGGAACATTCATTATTAAAGAAATTTTCATATTAGTATTGCACTTCTCCCACTCGAATCAGTAAGACATAACATTTAAGGTTAAAACGAAACATTTTTGAAGATCCGTTCAAGGTTTCCATAACCTCCATCGCTGATAGCTGCATTCATGTGCACTACGTCTCCCCAGTACAAACAACGTCGTAGGCAATAGCCATGTTTGATCCTATTGTTGCCATTTATTATTCGGATGTGAAGGGTCTTTCTTGCACGCTCTGAAGTACAACCAAAAACATTCCGCTCCCGAAATCGTTCGCTGTCTCGATGACTAAACTCAGCATAAGATAAATTCGAATTCGAATATGAATATTAAATACGAATTTGAATATTAAATTCGAGTTGAATATTAAATTCGAGGAATTCCTTGCAGTGAGAGGAAGCGATACAAGAACGCTGGTCCGCTCAGTTGCGAATTTAGTTTTGCTTGTGAGCCTCTGTAGCTTCCTCCGCTTCTGAGTCGGAGGAGTGAACGGAAGGAGTGGCACGGCCAACGGCGCTCTGTTGAAAAACATGCAATTGTGAGCAACAATTAGAAACAACGAGTAGGTTGACCCGTCATCGCTACGGATATAAATTTTAAGATACTGAAAAATCCCGTTCATAATTTTTGAACTAAATACTTTTTATTATAAAGTGACCCGCCGTTCAAATCAACAATTAACATCAAACTCCAATGAGATTTCACATTTTTTTATCTATGAAATTAACTTTGAGTTTACAAAGTTAAAAAAGTCTATTTTTAACCATTCATATAACGGTGCCTAGTACTCTCCAAGCTGGTATTCCATTCATGGCAAGTTTCTTCACTGTCAGTAGGCAGCTGAGCGCATTACCTTCTGACCTGTTTCGCCAATTGACGTGCGTCTAGTTGTCCGTTGATACTACAAGGTCCAGTTCTTCCGAGCCTCATTTAATACATTCGTATCGCAAAGGGATGAATTTTTTAACATGTTTCAGCGTAGCAATAGAACTTTTTGCAAAATTGAAGAAGTTAAGTAGGCATTCTGCAATAAAGTATATTTTAGCACATAACCCTACTTCAATATCTGGAAATGCTTGCTGAAATCTAGCGCAGAGGAACCCTGAAGGATTATACAGTGGAGCATGTACGCTAGTCTTGGTAACTTAGTAGTCGACGAAGGTTATCAAGAGATGGATGTGTGGGATGGAATCCAGCTACCAATCGCCCGACTAGAAACTTGTGAGGCTTGCCACTAACAGTGACGCAACCCGCTCCTTGTGAGGCCTGTCACAGATTATGAGACCTGTGAGTATCTGTGCTGGGGAGGCCTGAGTGGAGGCCGCTGGTAGAGGGGCACAGGTGCCGCTGAGGCGTCGTCTGTGCTGCTGACTGCGCTGTGCCGCGCCACAGGCCGCCGCAAGACGCTGCCCGATAAGCGCACGTTATCATCACAACATACACGTGCCGACACCAGAAATTAAACTCGCGGTATCCGTCCTTAGTTTCATTAGATCATCACATCCAACTCTAAGAAAAACTGAATTGTCAGAACCTGAAGGAAATTCCTGGTCCCAGATTTGTTGCAAAATTGTTACGTTACCTGCGCCTCGTCATGGCATGATATCGAGACGACGAAGGCTGGCCCTCGCCCTCAGACACGTCCTCATCCTCGTGACTGGAGTCCAATTCACTGGAGGCGACCACGTCCGGCTCAGCGTAGCCACGTCGTTCACTTAGATCCTCTTCCTCATCCCTGTCGCTGTCTCGTCCCCGACTAGCTGACGTCCTGCCTTCTTCCTCGTCTTCGGTGTCATCGCTGTCCTCTTCGTCAGGATCTACGGGCAATTCGTCGTCCAAATCTTCTTCATTATCGTCAATAAGTCCTTCTTCGTCGTCCAGCTCCAACGGCACGTCCTGCGAAGCCTTGTCACTTGACACCACGAACACGTCATTAGCGACTCCAGGCTGCGGTGTCTCTACGTCTCGTCTCCAGAAAGCCATGTCACCCCCAGCAGGGACGAAACCTTCATCAAGAGGGCTCTCGAGGACGTGTGAGCGTCGTAGTCCCGACTGCAGGGCCTTCGTCACGAAGAAGCTGTGGTGCTGCTCGTAGTTCTGCTGCCGGTCGCCCTCTAGTGCTGGCCGCCGCTGGTGGTGGTGTTGCAGCCCAACGCCTGTACCAACCAACAGCTTCATGGCACCTTCATTACAAACTTCTAAGCAAAAATTACATTCGGAGAAAAAAAAGCTTCTTTATAAATATTTTTTGGAAATCAATGACATAATTGTAATATTAACCTAAAAGTTGCCAGACGCGTTGTTTATTTTATTAAGCGATAGTTTTAGCTACTAACATGTACAAAAGCTATGCGATGTTGGCATCTCACCTTCTGGCGGTAGTAGGATGGACGCCTGAGACCCAGGCTTCGGTCCAGCAACCTCCGCGGACATCATCTGAACGGGTCCTGCCCCGCGGCGCCCTTTGCTCGCCCTGGGTGGGTATGACGGGTCTGATGTTGGATCAGAGAGCACTTTCTCTATGGGGTCCCATTGATCATTTTTGCGGTCGCCATATTGTTGCTGGTACTGGTATCGTTGCTCCTGCATCTGATGCGCGACTACCAAATCCCGTACTTCAGCAGCCGCCGCCTCTTGCTGCAGCTGCTGGTTGTTGTTGTTGATCAGTTTGATGGTGTGAAGAGTTTCTTCAACTGAGCAAAGGGGGGGCAGAGAAACGTCTGAGGTCGTGAGAGATGCGGGAATGTTCTTATTGTTATCGTCTGTGTTGGTGGTGGCGGAGTCTGACGATACGAGCCGCGCGATGGTGCGTGCAACAGGGCACAGCTGGCAGTGCTCACAGGCGCACGGCGTCGACTGCTGCAGCGACGTCTGCAGAGATCCCGAGGTTTGCAGCGACCCTTGCAGTGAGCCACGTGAGTTCGCCACGAAGTTACTATTGCCGTTAGGACTTGACCCGTCCTCCTTAATTTCCTGACTCTTTGTCATAACTGAAATGAGCTCTCGCTGTAGAAGCTCGAAGTCTTTGTTGAACTGCTGCTGCCTGTCTCCCAGTGGCGGCTTGGGAGGCAACGCAGCCGTCGTCCAGTCTGTGTCGGTGCAGACCTCCAGGCTGCAGTCAGTCTGTGTACTGCAGTCTACCAGACCAACGCGTCCGGGGCTCAGACTTTGAACCTACACATAACAAAATCCAGTGAGTCCACCGCGATCTGTACTTGTTGTGATCATATCATGCGCAAAATTTATCAACAGAATAATGCATACACATTAAAACTTTTGTACATATACTAGATGCACTCACACGTCTCACAAGAGATGGGCTGCGGTCAGAGTACGTAGATAGCCCCAAGCCGCTGTTGGCGGCCAGCAGAGCTGTGCTGCCGAGACTCTGGGCTTTTTGGTGGCGGTTGTAGCGCCGTTGTCGAGTCTTGTCTTTAGACGCGCGGCCAACGCCGAGGTCGTCCGGTGTGTTGGTGCCCTTAGACTTACGCGGCCCGAAGAGCGACGAAGGGCGCGTGGTTGTGGAGAGTGGAATGTTGTTGCTACCGATCTCGGTGTAGAGCGGCTTCTTGCTGCAGCCGTTCGGATAAACCACGTCCACAGGATCAGGACTTACGCACGCTGACGACGAACTGTCCTCCACGCGGCCTGCATGCACAGCCCGTAATTAAGTTTAAACATCAATTAACAATTCCAGTTTGGAGGCTATAAGAAATTTTCATAGTAACAATGATAATGGAAAGAAAGTCTTAAAATAATTATTTTATTAACGACGAAAAGTCTTCTCATGCATCGTCAGATGCAAATAAAAGATATTGTAAGAAAGATGCATGGTTTAAACAAATATAAAACTTACAGCATGATGAATGTGGGTACAAAAAAATGACAATAACACGAAATTGAAGCCAGGGTATGAGTGCTATTACACCGAGCTAGGGTATGACGCGAACTAGTCGGTAACAAAATTTAGAATTCTCCTGTCATTACTGCAGCGTGATTTTTAAAATATGCGAGAAAAATAAGGCATAATTTTTCAGGTAATTGAGGCAAGGCAGCTCACTGACCAGCCGGTGCCCGAGGGTCGTATACACTGAAATATATAGACAAATTTAAAATTAGGGAGTAAAATAAGGTATAACTTTTCAGGTAATTGAGGCAAGGCAGCTCACTGACCGGCCGGTGCCCGAGGGTCGCTGCTGAGGAGACTGCTGCGTGAGGACGAGAGACGCTGCTGAGCCTTCAGCAGGCTGCCCTTGACGAGGCTGCTGCTGCTGCTGCGCTTACTGCGCTTCACGTGTGCAGGACTCAGCTGCTGCTTCATCACCTCCTCACGTCTGTACAGGTCACATTCATTATTATCTTAGTAAACCTTCCATAGATAATCATAAGTAATCATAACAAACTCCAACACCTGCCGCTACATCACATTACCTCCTGCCGCTAGTTAGTATTACATCAATTCATTATTATCTTAGTAAACATTTCCTTAATTAATCATAATTAAGCGCAACACATTGCAACACTTGCCGCTACATCACCTCCTGCCACTAGTTTACGGCTGAAGAGGAAAGCAGTTCCTTTGATTACCGCAGTGTCGACCAGTGGTCTGTCGTAAAACAATCCATGGCCGTTCATACCAAACTAGTTCACTGATGTATGTTAGAACTTTGCAAAACATCGCAAGGCAATCCATAAACGTTAACACGAAACTACCTGCACTGATTTACACTGTTAGCAGACCACGAACATCCGAAGCATGAAATGGAAGTTAATATGGAGGATGAGAGTGTGAGGTTAAGAGGGAGATTAAAATGGAGGATAAGAATGTGAGGTTAACATGGAGGTTAAGATGGAGAATAAGAGTGTGAGGTTAAGAGGGAGAATAAGAGTGTGAGGTTAAGATGGAGAAAAAGAGTGTGAGGTTAAGAGGGAGAATAAGAGTGTGAGGTTAAGATGGAGAAAAAGAGTGTGAGGTTAAGATGGAGATTAAAATGGAGGATAAGAATGTGAGGTTAACATGGAGGATATTAGTGTATCTCACTTGTTGATCTCCTTCTCGCGCTGCTCGAGCTGCAGCATGGCAGCAGAGAGCTCGAGGTAGAGGTCGTTAGCGATGTTCAGTTTGCGCTCGTAGTGCTCCCGTACGTCCTGTGAAGCATCATGAGCATGGATTACTTCTTCGAATTACTGTATTAACATAGTAATCTATTCAATCAAAATAACTAATGTTAACGTAAAGAGAGAACTTGGATAAGATAATAAGAAAGTACAAATGGAAGCCTGCGATAATGAGTACACAGTCATAAAAATAAAATAAAGCCACTCGAAATAAGTTATAATTGAATCTCAGTAAAGAAATGTCACCTGGGCAGCATACCATTGTCAAAAGAGATGTTGTCTCTGCGATTATTAAATGTAGATTATACGCTTGGGTTAAAGAAGTGCTCAGAAATGTCAAATTTGTGATAAGCTAATCAAATAAAATTTATGTCGAGAACATGGACAAGACACAAACAATTTAATGTCAAGTCACTTGGTAATAGAAAATTCATGGTATTATTTTACCGAGATCGTGTCAAAAATAGCGAATAAGTGATGAGAACACTTTGATGAGAGAATAATTGATGCAAAATGCAAACACCTTGAATTTTATTGATGCAAACACCTTGAATTCTATTGATGCAAACGCCTTGAATTTTATTGATGTAAACACCTTAATAACTTGAAATCCAGGGCTCCCGTACCTGGGCATCCCTGAGCTCCTGCTGGCGACGACAGATGAGGTCTTCCTCGTAGGCGGGCACGGTGCTGGCGGGCACCATGATGCAGCCGCGGGACGTCGCCTTCATGTGCGACAGCTCCTTGCGGATCTCCTCTTGCCACGACGCCTGCAATCACTCTAACATTTTAGCTACATCCAACAACGACGATATCTACGTAAGACTTATTTTGAGCAGGAAATTCATCGTATATCTCCTCTTGCCACGACGCCTGCAATGACACACATGATTTAACTACAACAAACCACGACGGTATCAACGTAAGTCTTATTTTGAGCAGGAAATTAAGAGTAGATTGCTTCCTGCCACGACGCCGGCATCCTGACAAGCTCCCGAGAAGGCAACTCATCAATTTCTTAGAATTTGTTGCTACAAGAAACTTCCTGGTTCCCAAACACGCCAAGTGACAACATGAGGCCTCGTGAAAGAACGCTGCAATACGCAAGAGACTCCAAGTACTCCAAGCAGTCCCAGCGATGTACCTCCTGGAGCACCATACCACCCCTAAGTACCTGCGTCTGGAAGTAGTCCTCGGGGCTCTTGGTGACGATCTCGACGACAGCGATGTCGAGGTGCATGAGGATGTGCTTGAAGGAGGGGCGGTGGCGGGACTCAGGGTTCCAGCACATCTGCACGATGAGCCTGCAAAGAGCACATCACGAGTTAGAACGACTGCGCCGTACTCCGTCCTAAGTGATAGTCACTTCATGACTGTTTTAGTATCGTTAAACCTTCCCTGAAATATCGAGGGCTACGCTCTCACGCTTAGTTAATTGCAGACGAAATTAAGTGTATTCGATCAGCAGTTGTGATCAAGCGAAGGTCTCGTAAGGAAAAGCTACAAGAATAAAAATACAACGCTGAAATAAAAACAATACTTATCAGAGTTGTTACAGTAGAGAATTAAAATTCTTGTATATGAATAGCGACACCGTAATGTACAATGAGGTGAGCGGGACTGACTTGAAACCGTCGGGGCATGAATTGGGTATGGGCAGGTGAAGGGAGTGGCTGCCCACGCCGTAGATGATGGCAGAGTTGTCGACCTCGCGGTACGGGATCTCCCCGGTGAGCAACTCCCATAGCACCACGCCGAACGACCTGAACAACATGCGGTCCAAATGAATGGTGTTGCCACAGCACCACGCCGAACGACCTGAACAACAGGTAGTCCAAATGAATGGTGTTGCCACAGCACCACGCCGAACGACCTGAACAACAGGTAGTCCAAATGAATGGTGTTCACATAGCACCACAGTACAGTGCAGCGAGCTCTTACACCAGGGGTAAAGACAAGTGCTGTCTGCGATGTATATCACTGACTCAAGCTGTCATTTTTCATACGTCACACATCATTAAAGAGAGAGAACGTAGCGTGCAGATGACATCGCCGGCAAAGCTGTTTTAATATGCGAAATTTAATACGCTGCATTTGGGGCGGCAGAGCAATAGTCAGTAATCTGTACAGAATACAAAGAAAAGGAAACCTTTTCAAAGCTTAACTAATGGGTAAACTTACGTATATTATGGACAAGGTCACTGCCAGACTCACCAGATATCGACCTTCTCGCTGCAAGGCTCATTCCTGATGACCTCAGGAGCCATCCAGGCGAGGGTGCCAGCGAAGCTCATGATGGCGCTCACATCGTTCCACTCGCGACTCGTGCCGAAGTCGCTGATCTTCACGCGCTGCTCGTCTCCTATCAGAACGCTGCAAAAAACATTGCAATATTATTTGTACGAATTTTAAACAATTTCCTCCTCCAGAGACTATTGGATAGTCATGTGAGAACGAGAATAAATTTCATTGTATAAAAAGCGACACTTGTGTCACAAGCGCTGACCACTAATTCCAACACACGACACTAGTGTCACACGCACGACACCTCACCCCCGACACACGGTACCTCACTTCTGACACACGGCACCGCACTTCTGACACGACACTTGTGTCACATGCACGACACCTCACTTCTGACACACGACACTTCCATCACACGCACTTGGGGCTCTTGAGATCTCTGTGGATGATGCGATGCATGTGGAGGTAGTTCATGCCCTGGGCGATCTGCTTGGCCCAGCTGGCGACCAGCTGCGGCGCTATTTTGTGACCGTTTTTGATGAGGTTGAAGAGAGGGCCGTAGGGGCAGTACTCCATCACGATGCAGAACACGGGCGGTGTCGTGCAAACGCCTCTGCACACAAACACCTTCGTCAGTATATGGACACTGATACAAATTAAAATACGGTTGGTGCTTGAGCCGGGAATTCGTGCCCTATTATACATTGCAGCCAGACATAATAAACGTGATAGAGTCAATCTAGGTTACTTTGATCAGAATTTGCAGTCAAAAATAATAAAAACTATTGTAGTGTCAAACTGTGTTAATAACCTCATGTTATCATATTATATTGTTGTAAATGGAATATAATACGGCAATAAGATCGAGCGTCTCAAAAAATAATACAGGAGTCAGCTGTAATTGGCGGCAAGCTATTCCAGCTGATTGCAATGATGCCTTCAGCTGTAAAATAATTGAAGTTTTAATTAGCTAAAAAATCCCTCGATGGCTTGATTTGAAAATTAAGTATGAATTTAAAATAAATGCCACAAATTTGTCGATCCTTTTATAGAAAACGTTCCGTACGGTAATCTAGCTCCATCAGCGGTTATTTCTTATCGGCTTGAAATAGTACATAAACAAATAGTTTCGCTTACTAGAGATAATTTCCGGTTGCCATCCTTTTTATTAGTCAATTTAGGTCTTAATATCGCTTCCNAACGTTCCGTACGGTAATCTAGCTCCATCAGCGGTTATTTCTTATCGGCTTGAAATAGTACATAAACAAATAGTTTCGCTTACTAGAGATAATTTCCAGTTGCCATCCTCTTTATTAGTCAATTTAGGTCTTAATATCGCTTCCCTAAAAGCGTTCCAGCTAATTGCTTGTACTAATGTTTTGATAATATGATGGAGCTCTGAAATGTTCTTTACAACAACATGGGTGAATTTTTGCTGTATTTTATTTGCTCTGTAATTCTTAGTATAGCCTTATCCAGGACAGACACAGACGTGAAATAATCAATACAGAACCCTGGTGACGCCAGACGATGGCCGGCGAATGTGGGCCGCGGAGGCCGTGACTGCCTGCAGTCAGGCTCGTCGTTGCATGGCTGCGCTTTCAGCAAAAATGAAAAAATGTAACAGTTAACTCACTTGAACCTGACGATGTTGGCGTCGTGAACATCGAACAAATGAGTTCATCAAAATCTTCATATCAACTCACTTGAACCTGACGATGTTGGCGTGGTTGAGCTTCCTGAGGTGGTTTATCTCGGTCTCCTTCTTGTCCTTGACTTTCTTGACTGCGACGAGAGAGCCTCGCAGGCGCCCCTTGAAGACCGCTCCCTGAGCGCCCGACCCCAGCCACTCCAGGTCTCCGATGTCCTCGAACGGAATGTTCCAGTCGCCTTCTGTTCAAACATGACAAATTTTAAGAACAATATTAAGTGTCTCGGAGAAAGACACTTAAATATTTTCACGTTTATAAGTGTTACAATTTTAATTATTTATTTTACATAACATCAAAATTTGAAATAATTCTGTTACATGCTCAGATATCGCACACAGCTTAAAGCCAAATTCTTAGATGCCGGACACCAAGCGTAATTAAGTCAAATATGTTCATCACTGACCGTTTCCCTCAGGTTTCTCAGGCAAGGCGGAGGTCTTGCCGATGATACCCCAGACGGGCTTGAGGCAGCCCATGATGCCCTCGAACCAGTGCTGCTTGTTGTGTAGGGGCATGGGGGGCGGCGTGTCCGGTGATGTGTCGCACTTGCCCACCTGCCCCAGTCTTGGGTCCCCAGCCTTACCGTCGTGTGGTGCGCTGCGTGCGCGCTGTATACCGAGAAAACGTTTATAAATAACGCTTCATTATATTAATTTAGTGGCAGTAGAAACTCAAAAAACAGTTAAAATCGAATATTTCAGATCTCTTTCATCTAACAATTATTACGCGTTTCTCAACCAGGGTTATAATCCTGTTTAATATTAGGATCAACTGGCCACAGGACATATGCGTAGTGTTAACATAACTCAGTTAACCATTGCATACACTTAAAAAAATTACCGTTAACGGTACTACCGGCGTTTCAGTGGCCGGTCGGCACGTGAAAAGAAACACCGTGTCGCCGTTTTTATTCAAATTAAACACTAGAAATCCGTACAACATCTGATAAAAACGGCGAAACGGTTTATTTTCAAGGGGCGACCGGCCACTAGAACGCCAGTGGGACCGTCTTTTCACCGTTTTTTCTAACAGTGTATGTGATCGATGTGCTACACCACATCGACCACATATACAGGGTGTTTCAGAATTAAGTAACCCTTTAAATTTGTTAATAAATAAAAAACTAAGAACGTTATGAAGTTGAAACTTGTTTTATTTAAAAGAAGAACATTTTTATGGTAATATTGTATCCTAGTTTTTGAATATAATATCTTTTAAATGCCCACCACAATTGTTTTGACAAAATAGGGCTCTTCTTAATAGTCATGTGCGACGTTATCTTCAATTAGATAATACGTCAATAGTCATGTGCGACGTTATCTTCAATTAGATAATACGTCAATAGTCATGTACAACGTTATCTTTAACAAGATATTACGCTATTAGTCAAGAACAGAATTGTTTTTGGTCCGGTAATACATTCTGGCACAAAATACGCTGATAGTCAGGTAAGATCACTGGGAAACTTAAAGAAGCAACACATTACGGAAAAAATTATTCACATTGATTTGAGCGAGCTAGCTGTGCTAAAAAAGATCGTCAGAGAAATTTACATCACATTATTTTAACAGGAGCCTTTGCACGGCAAATTTCAATAAATAGATGCGACTCGCACTCCTGCAAGTTCACGAAAACAAAAATTATCTTGACGCAATTCAAATCCCATTTCTTTGATTAGCAAAGAGAGTTTGTGCTCAGCGCTTCACTACACACTTGAAATACTGCAATTTAGGACAGAGGTAAACAGTCTTATAAATATACCTGCTCCGGAAAGCTCCGGAATAATATACCTGCTTCACACTCAAGCAGGTATACTCAAGGCAGCTAGAATCTCCAGTAATAGACGGCCATTTAAGATACCATGACACAAACTACTTACGGCTAGTTAATATACTAGTCTGATAATAATACTCCAGTATGGATAATCTGTATAATATCCCTGGACATCTCACCCCGGATTCTTCCTTTTCCTGAGGCCGAGCCGCTCTGCCACGCTCGGGCACGACGAGCAGCGCATTCTATCAATACTCACTCACGAGCGCCACTACAAATTTGAACTCTAATATAATTTAAAAACACAAACAGTTGAAAAATTGATTTTGGCACCACCATTGACCAATTTCTCTGTCATTTAATCGAATTACTAATAAATTCTGAAAATTTTAGAAAAATAATTAAATTTTAACTATAACGCATGTGAGTAACTAAATCCAGCAAAAACATTAACATTGCAAGCACACTCACTTGAATTGTCTGCTCATTATAACCATTAAACATTAGTACGAATAGATTAGCTTAATTTATAGCGGATTGAGTTATAGCCCTCCACTGATTGTATTTAAGCTATAATTGCACCAAACATACGCGAGTTGCACAGAAGGCAGTAACAAAACAGTAGAGCAATTCTCGGTAGACGTTATTGATAGTCGGTCAACACCATACAGAGCGGCTCAGGCGTTCCCGGAAGCCTGGAGGGCCATACAAGTTTCACGGCAGACGCAACTTCCGGCACCGGCTGAACGTATGCCGTGCATGAAATTCATTGGCACCGTGTGTTGTGCATGAAATTTGGCGTTGCACTCTATTGTATTTTTTGATAAGTTCAAAATTCAATTGTATATCATAAGACAAAAAACTATCCAGTACAAGATAACACGTTTGTAGTTGAAACAAAAAGTAGAAACCAAAAATGATTCTAATACCTTGTATTATGGAGAGTCCATTCATCGATTGAGTCTTAACAAAATGAGGTATCCTTAAATTTTAGCAATGCTTTCTTAAATTTACTTTAATGTTTTGCAAACATCTTACAATTCTTACGCAACTGTTCAAAAACAATAGAAGAAATGCTTCAATCAAAAGATAAAGGTAGCCACGATGAATTTTTCCACAGATCTCACACGATCGCGTGCTAAGAGGCTGCGGCAGCTGAAGGTTGGACGCTCGTCTGAAGTTCAAAGTCGGAAGGCATTTCCCGGAACCAAGGAACCGGAAGTTGGGAGACAAGTTCCGGGTGTGGGGGTCAACGTCGCCTCCGATTAAAGATCAGCCTAAATGCTCAGGTCGAGGTCAGACTTCCGCCTCTCGTGACCCGGGCAGATGATTCGAGGGCTGAGCCCTCGAATCCGTAATGTAACGAGGTATGATTTGTACCCGCGATATCCTGAGTTATGACAGTTCTGGACGCAATTACGCGCGTGTTTGTGACCCGTACTGTTGGTGGTATTCTGTACGCTCACTTCAACCTCAAAAACAGGCTGTTTTTTTGTATCTTTACCTTTGATACGCTCGGCATAAGAGATTCTGTTCAATTTCGCAAACATCAGTTACGACAACGCTGGTCTTTTCAGAAAAAAAATTATAGATTAAATATAATACCCGGATTCATTTCAAGTGGGTTAATTTCGCAACTTTTTACATCAATCACATTGTGATTAGTGAATATATGGATACATTTTAACATGTCAACATGTCAAAATTATAAATACAGGCCGTAAGTATTGCTGCGGGCTGCATGATCAATTGAATGGCGGCGAGACCAGCATAAGTGCCCAATGGCCTGCATTTATGGAATACCTACTGATGTAATCATGATAAAAGCACCCGATATTTCCCACGAACAAAGGTCAGCATCAAATGACTGCTTATTATGATCACTCGTGCCGGTAAAACAGGGAGCTTTTGCGCATCCTTAACGCACTTCTCTTTCCGCGCCTCACACACTAATTTAAGTCGAATATGAAGCGGATTACAGCTGGGTAAACAAGAGTGTAAACTCGCCACTCTTTACAGCATTGATGGAGAGTGAAATGTTTTTTTTATAGTTCAGCCAAGGCAGGCACAATGCATCAAGTGGATCGATTTTTAGCTTCCAAGAAGCTCTAATGCCGCGCTTCTTCCTACGTGATAGCTGCCTTGGAAGAGGCAAGCCGACGTTATTCGTACTGATATTATCTCACCCTGTGAAAAATTATTGATGACTTCGATGAACAAATTATCAAGAATTTTCTTCTCAAATATTATTTTTTTCAATTAACGGAATAAATCAATATGCCAGTTTTCACTTTTTCAATGCCAGTTTTTGCCAGTTTATGAACGTTAGCGGGAGATGTTGGCCGCACACAACAGCGCCGCTGCACTCTACGGAATTTCGTCCTAACATTTAACTAAACAGCAGAAGCGCAAGGAGATAAGAAGCTCGCTCCAGGAAAGCCGAGTAGAGACGATAGATAAAAAGCTCTTCCCACTGCGCAGTTGTGGAGATTAAATCACAGTATGAACAAAGTCAAGTTTGAACTGTTCATGTGTATTAGTATTTTTTATGAACTTACCACCCAAAATTAAAAGAGAAGCAGATGTTTGTAATAATATACTTCAAAACTCAAGCTATCGCACAAAGAAAAGGAGCTTGTCTCTTGATATCTATGTAATAAAAACATCATATTTTGATTTGCAAATTCCTTCACTGTTTTCAATATATGCGCTTATCGAAATTGAGTAAATATTAATTCAGTGATTTGATTCGCAGATTTCCAATGCTAATTCGTTGACTTCCATTGCTAATAACGCTGTAATTTATAAAAAATCATTTGCTCGGTGAGACAAATAATTACGTAATGAAAGGCTCTTACAATATATATCGCACTGATACTTTGAGTACTAAACTTTAACGCGGTAAAATATGTCAATCGATTTCCCGTTATAATTTTACTAGAAATACATGTAGGTTAAGGGCTGAAGGAAACAATGTCTGGGAAGTTGATGACAATTTGAAGAAGCATGGAAAAAAAATCTGGATACGCGCAGCGTATCACTCAGCCCACAATACCGCGCAGTCACACTACACGAGGCAGCCTATACGCGCACTTCAATACCTCGGGGTCGTTTGTGAATATTGTGTTAGTGATGCAACGCATACCATTAGTGAGGTCACATGAACGGAAGATGCCACGCATGTTATAAGTGACATAATATGAAATGTTCATGCAACGCATGTTATAAGTGAGATTAAATGAAATGATGCTACGCATGTTATTAGCGAGATGAGGTGAAATTATGGTGCCACGCAACCTTTATGAGTAACATCGAATACAATGATGATGACACTCGCTAGATGTTAAATTGACAAAAGAAAAGGACTATAAATTTGAAAAGTTGAACAGAAACAAAAAGATGCGATGCAGTCAAGTGAAAATATGATACAAATGCAGACTTTACATAAAACAATCCACTCTAGAGCTTCGTCAGCTGGGAAAACAAGTAAGCAATAGCGCGTTATGATGTTGAGGCAAACACAAGCAGCAGCCGCTGTAGACATCACTAGCATCAAATATGTCAGGTATGGATGAACTGTACCGCATGACGCACCACTAGCATCAAATATGTCAGGTATGGATGAACTGTACCGCATGAGGCATCACTAGCGTCAAATATGTCAGGTATGGATGAACTGTACCGCACGAGGCATCACTAGCATCAAATACATATGTCAGGTATGGATGAACTGTACCACATGAGGCATCACTAGCGTCAAATATGTCAAGTATGGATGAACTGTACCGCATGAGGCATCACTAGCGTCAAATATGTCAGGTAT